GCATTGTCAAATAATTATCGATTATGGGACAAAAATAAAAGAAGAATAATCAGCAGCTGTGATGTAAACTTTAACGAAGAAGAGTTTGAAGAAATCAATGAAGAAAAGAAAAACGTTTTGAATTTTCCTCTCCATTACCAACTTGATGAAAATGTGGTTCTTGAAATCAATGACGAAGAAAATGATCCCGATCTAGACACCAAAAATGACAATAACGAAGAAGACGATGGGATACAACTACGTCAACGAAACCTTTTAAAGCGACCTGATTATTATGGACCAGCCATATATTGTTCGATTTTAACTCCAGACTCTTACGAAAATGAAGAATGGACAGAAGCACTGAAGCAAGAAAGGAAATCATTTCCAAAGCCAAAGGATCATCCAGTGATAGACAATAAGTCGAGTGAAAACAAATTCGAATGGTGACATATCGCGTTACAAAGCACACCTTATGGCAAAAGGCTACAAACACCATAAAAGAATTAAACCTTTGCAAAAAATTGTGTTTAATGTTTGATTAAATTGATTTATATTAAATAGCATATAGATTAAGAGAGAATGTTAGAATAAGACTATAATCAAAATGCTTTTAATATTATCAATATAAGTTCAGCCATATATTATGGACCACAGTGTAACACAAAGCCATATTGCTTAGGCAAGCATAATTTTTTGTTTATCGCGAGAGCAACCTTTTCAGTTAGTCGTCGTCAAATCGCTGCTGATACAGAATCGTTCTCGTGTTCGGAAATCTACTTTTGCACTGTGTTGTTCTTTATCTATCAATATACTTTTTTATTCATACATTAAGAGTGTGTCCACTTTATTTCACCAACAGAAAACACTGTTTCATTCCAGAAATAACAGGTAGAAGGTAGTGCAGAAGCCTGTTTCCAATTAAATAGAAAATATTCTGACCATCAATGCGAGCACAATGGCATCCTGATTGGCGTCAAAATAATTCTGTTGAACAAAAACAATGGGCTTTCATCAGACCAGCTGCATGTTGTCATGACTGATTATGCAAAGGCCTTTGATAAGGTAGACCATGGGCCACAATGCGTGGACCAATTGACCAATTTTTCGCACAAATTTCAATGAGTACCAAAACAGCCAGTTGGGAAAATGATTTGGGTTCAGTTGCCTCTTAAGGCAAACGACATTTCCATTATTTGCTGTGAAATATTAATAACCGAAAAGTTAATAGCCAGGCATTTAGGTGAAGGTACGTCGGCCGTGATTTGGAGGTCGGGAATTTTTTCCAAATGTTCGCCAATGCGACAGTAGGTGGGCGCCCAAATTGAATCTTACTGGGATATTATTTAAATGAGTTTATTTCGGGAATTGGAATGGGATCAATCGATTCGATGTTAATTGATGTAAATGCGTTTTGGCAAATTTTCATCAGAATTTAAATTTACAATTGGATCATCCCGGTTTTAAAAGGCACAATTTGGTGACAATTATTGTCATTGATTCACCATTCGTTTTGGTAAATGGTTTTCCCTTTTATGCAAAAATTGAAATTTTAACCCTTCTCTGCTCGCACTCTCATTTAAATATCCATACACCATTTTCCATGCGATTACTATTATATTACACAATTAGTCGTCATTCGCTCGAAAAGACCCCACTAGCAGCAAGCTTTACCATTAAGCTATTAAGGAAACAGCTCTAAGTTTTTTCAGCAAACGACCAGTTTCATCAGCTTACAGTGGATATTCTGTTCCAGAAGAACGCTCCACTTTGTGCACTAATTAGTTTAAGGCGAAGTGTAGTTTAAACGTTCTTTATAAAGATGGTCTGTGCAGTGGGGCCATTCAGAAATTTTCCGGCTCCCTAGAGGAATAATAGTTTAGGAAAATGTGCATTTAATCGCTTTCGCTGCCCAGTTTGCTCATTTTCACATTCGCTTCACTGCCAAGTGTGCGTTTTTTAAGCCATTGGCACTCGAACGACCTTTTCTCTATCCATGACTGGCCGGTCAAAAGCCTTTCCCAATTCAAGGAATCCCTCAAATAAAGCGCAGTCGTTTCCAGTTAGTTGCTAATGAGCTTGCGTTGCCATTTTCGAATTCATTAATGTAAAAATTAATCATACCTGCTTGTTTTTTTCGAGTTCAAAGGCAAGTGCCGACGGAATGCTTTACCTTTTTGCCAGACAGTTCGCAAATCGTGTCGCGGAAAATTAAATTAGTCGCCGATACTTTTTTGTGTCATCATGCGGAAAATGCAATTTGAAACTCGCCGTGTCTTTATATGGAAAAAACAGGGTCAGTCCACATCGATCCATTCGGGCAGACTAACACCACTATTTAGTGAGTGTTTGTGCATTTTCTTAAATAGTAAATTGTATTAATAACATGTTGAGTTTAGATAAGTAAAACCCATCAATATTGGGTTTTCCTAAACGCTTTGCCCAAGCCGAAACCGAAATCTTGCATCGTACCGAAAAATAACAAATGATTCCGAAGGAAACGATTTATCAAAAGTCCACTAATCCGGAAAAATGTAGGAATACACCTTAAAATTACTTGATAAATGCGAAAAGTTGGTCTATAAGGCCAGCCCGCTCCCGAACAAGAACAAAACCAGAAATACTGTTTGCGTTGCTTTAAATGACACGAACTAAAAGAGATATATGGAAGCAACTTTGCTATATTGATTCTTTCATTATGTTTGCCACCCCCAAAGAACGAACTTTAACTGCAGTTTGAGTTCGAGTCAATTCTTATTCTACAACTTTATTCCATTGCGATTTTTCTTTTAAACACCCGGTACAGTTTCGGTTTCCGAGCGAGCCGCAAATCTCGCGAGTTCGCATTGTGGGCTAAAGAACACGCCGATTGGAAGATCGAGATATCAGTTTTTATATGTGCTCACGACGATCCTTTAGCTAGTTTATTTTAAACCGAAC